TACAGCCCAAATATATTTTTTTTCCATCCGGTAATCGAAACTTGCCCAGCAGTAGTAACTCGTTAAACTCAAAACCATTTATATAATTTTCACGCATGTTCAAAATACCGTAATTTATCTCATGGTCATGTTGTTTATGTGATAGTATTTTTTATATCACAAATTGTAACACATTTGACCAGAAGGCCAACTAAAATTAACGGGATCAATAGATAACCAATAAAACATAAAACAACACAAATATAAACACGAATTAAGATTTTATTACTTTTATTCAAAATAAACGAGAAAATCATGGTTTGCTTTTTGTACTTAATTTCATTCCTCCCATAAACTATATATTCTCGCCGTCCATGTTTACGTCTCCTTTTATTTCTATTGTACCAAAGGTATATTTCATATTTCTTCCCACTTTCTGTTTGATATATTTAAAGTAATGGTTATGACCTCGTTTGGCTGGAGAGAAAATCCTACAGCCCTTTGTAGGTTTACAGTGGGTGTCTACACAATGGCGTTAAGGACACCTTCGTCCATTTTCTCCCAATAGCATGAAGTTTATCGTATAAATAAATCATATCTATATATATTTTCTTGAGTTAAAATTTATTAGACCTGAAAATCCAACTAGATTTTTTGGATTTTTTTTTTCAGCCTCTCATAAGACTAAATCATAATTCATTTTGAACTTAACCTTCTTTCAAAAGCATCACACCGAAACAGGATTTTTCATCCATAAGGTTCTTGTGCAACACCTCCGCTAATTTAAATTTATTTATTAATAAATTTGATTAATTTTAAATTATTTTATTTATTAATAATAGTACAAAAATAGTAAAAATTTATGTACATATTAGACGCCAAACTCATGCAAGAAACAACCATAAGCTATCCGTGCATGGTCCAAATTAAAAAAAAATAAACATGTAATAAATTAAAACTAAAACTCAAATCTGTAAATAGATTATATTGTAGAATTTAAAGCATTGTAATAAAAATAGGCAATAAATTTATACCATTAATATTAATTAAAATATAGACGTTCTTTCCTTAAAACTTCTATGATTTTTTTACCGTATTTAGACCAACTTGTCGCCTACAGAAGGAGATAAAAAGCTCGGTGGAACATTTGGAGCAATCGATTTATAAACTGCAAAATTTATCATGAAAGAAATTTAATAACAAAAAATAACGATTGCATGTATTTACTAAAAAAAATTAATTAATTTAAAAAAGCGAGGGTGGTAAATTTTTTTTGCCTCTCAGTGTAGTTAACGCATAGACAAAAGAAGCACAAATATGCAAACACGTAGAGACAAGAAAAGATGGTAATTTGCAATTTTACAAAAAAAATAAAAAATAAAAAGCAAAAATAACTGCTCACATACACTAATTGCGTGAGATTAAATGTTTAAAACAATCAATTAATTAAGGTTTTAAGTTGAGATAAAAAAGTCAGTATCACGAGCGGGATTCGAACGGGATTTATCTCAACTTAAAACCTTAATTAATTGAATGATATTAATTGGTCAAGCGGACCACGAAAAATAGTGTGTTAAAAACAATAAAGACAGGTTTTTTGCATATTTGTAAAATTTTCATAATAAGCTCCCACCTAGTCATACTAAATCAAATTTATAATTATTCAAGTCCATATTGGTACTTATGTAAATACAACTTACACACAATATTTGGATATAACTTGTTTATCAAAATTATTTTCTATTATCAGTAATTTACTCGACTGTCCTAATGACCAAGAGTCTATTTCATTTGTTTCTTTTTTAAAATGTTTAATTGTATTTGTTTTCTGTAACAAAAGAAACAACAGGTTAAAGCGTATAAGGACAAAAAAGTTTGTCCTTTATATTAATGTCCCTATCTCTCATCTCATACAGCTTATTATTCATCTTTCTGCTCTCACGTACCTGAGCTTGTCTGCTAGTATTTGTCCAAAACGACAAATTTAAAAAAGACAAATAAATACTTGGATGTACGGTCGAGAAGTGGACCAGTTAATCATTGGAGTTGAATATTAAAACCTGAATCAATGCAGGTTCTAGGTTTTTCGATATACGCAAAGGTGGTCGGTGGTTAGATTGAACATGAGAAATTATGAGATGGATTCCGCGCCGTAGGGGGGCGATATCTAAAAAATGAATCTCATCTTGTTAATGGTCTGCCATCCATTATTGTTTTCAATTTTTGTATTCTTAAGTTTTTTACATATTCTTTTTCTCTTATCCCTTCGAAAAAGTTTAATCGATTAGGAATGGGGCCTCTTTTTAATTATTGGGTTGTCCGGAAAATAATGCAGGATTTTGGTATTAAACAAAAAAAAAGAAACTAGTTACTTTAAAGCAATGTTCTTTAATCAAAATAATTTCCCATACTCTCAATACATTTCTCCCAACGTGTTGGTAACTTATTAATTCCGTCTGAGTAGAATTCAGAATTTTTAGAATTGATAAAGTCAATAAATGCATTTTCCAGTTCCGTTTGATTTTTGAATATTATGTGTTGTAAGTAGTGGTCCAGGTGTCTAAAAAAATGGTAGTCAGTAGGCGAGAGGTCCGGAGAGTAGGGTGGGTGAGGCAAAGTTTCATAGCCAAGCTCCAATAATTTTTGTGACGTTACACGTGACACATGTGGTCGAGCGTTGTCATGCAACAAAATGGGCCCTTTCCGATTGACCAAAGAGGGCTTCATTACTGCCAATTTCTGATGCATGGTATTAATTTGGTTACAGTATGATTCAGCATTGATGGTTTCGCCAGGATTTAAGAAGCTGTAGTGTATTAAACCAAATGAAGCCCACCATACCGTAACCATTACCTTTTTTTGATGAGTTGGGGGCTTTGGAGCTTCTCCTTTGTCGAGCCACTGTCCAGAACGTCTAGTGTTATCGTAGAGAATCCACTTTTCGTCACATGTAACAATTCTGGCCAGAAATGGGTCATTTTTGTTTCGACAAAGAAGTGATGCACAAACATCAAAGCGCTGATTTTTTGGCGATCGTTTAATGAGTGTGGAACCCAATTTTCGAGTTTTTTCACTTTTCCAATCGCCTTGAGGTGGTCAGCGACGGTCGTTTTACTGACTTTGAGTTGCTCTGCAAGTTCTCGAACAGTTGTTTTGGGGTTTTCTTCCACCACTGATCGCAGAACATCATCATTAAGAGAGGAAGGCCTTCCACGACCTTCTTCATCTTCAAGGCTGAAATCTCCCTCCCGAAATTTTTTAAACCACCTTTGCACAGTGCACTCATTAACACAACCCTCGCCCCAGACTTGGTTAATGTTTCTAGCCGTTTGGGCTCCGCTTCGGCCGAGTTTAAACTCGTAAAAGAAAATCGTACGAAATTCTCGTTTTGACATTATAAGGATGACTGAATTATTTCCAAGTAGCGGAATGCTACAGAGGTAAACAAACAATATCATTTGGAAGAGGATTAATAAGTGTTGACATTCATACAAATGAGTAATCCTGTAAACGTAAACAGAATATTTTATATAGATTTTTTTTAATGAAAACTTAAAATCCTGCATTATTTTCCGGACAACCCGATATGTTTCCGAGTATGAATCATTCATTAGTTTTGTTATATATACAGATACGTGATTATATTATTCCTTAAGAGTAATTCTTGTACAGGTTTTTTCTTTACAGTATTGTTCACAATAAAACGTTACAAGTAACTTAATTCTAGTAGTTGATCAGGGATATGGCCCAATGAACAAAACTTTTAGCTTTCGACCTCAGCGCAAATTTATGAAGGAGGAAGGCGAAATATGTACGCCGAAAGCTTGGCAAACTTATAAAAGTTCTGTTCATTGAATCACATACATCCATATCTAGAATTAACAGCTGGTCGACAAATAAATCCTTACTGGCACAAGTAACAGCCATCACCTAATTTTTTAATCAATTCATATAATATATTTTTTTTTTACCTCAAAATTAAGGTTTCAGTTTATTAAGCCTGTATGTTCCTACCTACTTTCTTATTGAGTAATAGTAAATGAGTTTATAAAGTACTACTAAAAAAGATAAAAAATGTTTCTAGGAATTTTACTAAAGATGACGTCAGACGCGATAGTTGCTCTTTCATCTGAATGTTTTCAGTAGATTTTTCTATTATTATTATTATTATTATTAATTTTTAAAGGTGTTTTAACGGCTAAGGTCATTTCTCGCTCTAACATTCAAACCTTCTATCTTAGGATATCCATCCTGAGTGCTATAAAGCTCTGACTCCAAACATTCACTCATAAACTAATTTATTCTATTGCCATCCAACGATTTAATTTATCCTTTTAAAATTCTTAATTTGGAAAGCCAAATGTATGCAAAAAAATCCATTTTAAATTATAAAATTTATACCTGTTCTTTAACTAGAATTTGTCCTATAGGCTTGTATGGCCAATAATAATAATAATGGAGTCAGACTAGCAACCGTCTCAGCCTGAGTATAGGCTCATCGTGATCATTTTATTCTTCCATTCAAATATGATAAATAAACTAATGCTACTTAACAATAATAAGAAACAAAAACACAATAACTATTCGGAAATCATGAGATGCGGTCTGGTGTGATGTAGGTTTCAAAAAACGTTTTCTTTATCGTGCCAACGTTTCGATCTTTATTGAGCTCATCTTCAGGGCTCAAAGTGTTTGTTTTCTGCGTAATTGTACCATTCTTGCGTTGAGTTACAGTACAGTTGAGAGTACCCCACACGACACGCAAGAATGGTACAATTACGCAGAAAACAAACACTTTGAGCCTGAAGATGATCTCAATAAAGATCGAAATATTTTTCTGAAACCTACATCATACCAGACCGCATCTCACGATTTCCGAATAATCATCGGTCACTAATCACCACACATTTATACACAATAACACTTCTTTTTCTTTATCCTCTTTTTATTAAGGAGCTATCTTTCTTATTTAAATTGCTATGCTGGACATTGTAGTTTATTACCCCGCAATTTGAATTTTCTTCTATTTCATTTTTCCGCTCCGGCAGCCTCAAAAATTCCTGAAAAAAGAAAGAAATCTTGCAAGCCCAACTCTCATTCAAACATTGGCAATTTGGGAAAATGCCTAAATCTCATTATAAATTCCAATAAATTTGAGAAAGCTGAAAAGTTCTCTTCGAAATAAACACTGGGGACCCAGTAACCCCTTTAAATCACTCGAAAGATTGAGTATTTGCCTAAAGGGTTGCAAAGTGCGACCGTCGACCAAAACATGTTTTACAGTCAGAATGTTACGTTCTCTACTTCGAATACATCAAGGACAAGTTGGTACCTATTAAAACTCACTTATGTATTAGCCTAATGTGACCTATTCTAAAGAGAATCACAAGTTCTTTTCTATTAAGTTCCTCAGTAGGCCATTTATGTACAACTGGCTTAATTTCTTTCATACTATCTCTACAGACATTCCATCTTGCCGCCCTCTTTCGTTTGATAATGTTTTTAACATAAACGACTATATCATCTGGGCGGAGAGGAAATTGATCTGTTCTTTGTGGATGGTTTGCAGCGTTCCTTGCCTGTTGGCTTTTTCATTTCCAGAAATGCCGAGATGACTAGGAATCCAAACGAATACCACATGTTTGTTAAGTGCTTTGATTTCATAGAGATAATTGTGAATTTCTAAGATGAATGGGTCAATCGAGAAATTATTTTTGATGGCTTCCAGACCACTCTTCGAATCAGAGCAAATGATGGCATTACAAATTCCTTGCGATTCCTTTATTGATGAAGTTCAGCTGTGTATATGCTAGCCTCATTATACAGACCAGCTGAGGTTGTACTCTTCAGCAAATATCCCACACCCTACACAAATTTCATTTTTGGACCATCGATATAAAAAAACTTTATAAATGGTATATCTATTTAAAATCCGCAAGAATTTTGCCTTGATCAACAGAGAAGGTGTTTCTCTTTTGTTCAATAAGGCCAGATCTTCGATAATATTCTTATTATTATTATTTATAGGGCTAAAAACTTCATCAGATTTATGTTGTGGCTTTATGCAATTCTGGTCAGAATCAATTTGGTATATTTAGATTTTGTAATGTGTTTATTTGGAGCTCTGGCTTGACAAATTATTTGTTTGCTAAATTTTAAGCCAAAATATATTTCTTGATGAAAATCTGTTGTAAAATTTACCAAAGGTGGACTATATTAGTTCTTTCAGTAATCTGAAAGTTTGCTGCCGCCGAATTTGTTGAAAGAATTTCTTTACTTTTAAAACCAAAGATGATATAGTTCAATCTAGGCCTGACGGACTTTAGGGTATCTCTATGAAAGCACACTTTACACAGCCGGCGATTGTATGTTTGAAGATTTTCTCATGATTGTTACTTACAAACTAAAAAGATTACTTGTGCATAATTTTTTATTTTTGATGAATTAACTAGCAACTTTTCCAAAATTTAAACATTAAAATCGATAGAAAAGTTTAGAGGCTAAGGTCATAGCCGGTCATCAGCACGTTGTTGCTTTCACGTCTTATCTTTCACGCGTCTTTTTTTTTAATCCGCAGCCATTTGAGTGTTTCAGACTCTTTGCTTTTATAATAATGTAAAACTACTGTTCGTTTGAACCTTCTGTCATTTATCGTGTATTTATTATTATTATTGTTGTTGTAGTTGTTAGATAAGGCGAATTTAAAAGAAAAAACACTCAATTCACCGACCATCAGGACTTTGAAACTATTTTGTGATAATTTACACGGTTAACAAATATACTCTACTTACAATTAAACATTATGGCTTTAACCGTGATTTTTTGGCCCAAATTTGATATTTGTCACATAAATATGTGCTATACATATATACAGAAAGTTGTACCTTCCAAAGCACCGCAGCCATGGAATTGAAATTTAGTTTTTTTTCATTCTTTCAAGATTCTCAAGAACAGCAAATTTGTACATTCCGCATTGGAAAGTTTTCATTGGAAATCTGGCAGGGAGCTCTACACCCGGAGCCGGCTTTTATCAATTTTTATGATTGGAAATCGGCAGATTAATCAGCCGGTACATAAAACGTATTATAATTTAAGCCATTTAAAGATAATTTTTTAGCCATTTGTTTCGTAATGTTTTCACGAAAAAAATTAAAACTGAACATCATAATAATTTGTTAATACATATTTATAGGCGTGGCGCTACTGGTGGTCAAAAAGGCCAAAGGGCAAATCTGACCTTGCGATAATCATTTCACTCCTTCCCTTTATTTAAATAATATTTGTAGGGGTTCCTTTTACGTCAAAAGCTATTAAAACTATTTCTAAGCAAAATTGTTGATTTGGAGAACGGTCAGAGGTCTTTTTTTTATCTGAAAGGAGAAATGAGGCGTCGAATCAAGTCACTCTTTTGAATGACTTGCTCTCCGTTGAAGCCATAAAGGATCTACTATGGAGCTTTTATCTCCCTCGGCCATCAAAGCCAGTCTCATAGCCCAATTTGAGAAGGGTCCGAGTAAAAATCCAAGAGACGTCTACAAACATAGTTAAACGGAGTCATAACTAAACTTATAAGCTAATAAGTTAGGTCGGCTGAATAAATCTGGTCCAATGCAAAATTCTAGGTTTTTGAAAATATCTGTGGCTATCTATAGGGGGAATTTTGATTTACAATTGATTACAATCGTAATCATATACAGAACTAAGAAAGCTGCAATTTTACCTTTGCATGTCAAGCTGTTCGGTTATAGTCATCACGTTTGCCACTATTAATCGTTAAAAAATCTTGAAGAAATTAACTTAATCTTAATTAACATGATATCCGGTTGGAGGCAACAAATACGTAAAGTGGATTTAAAAAAAATAAAATTGTATATTTGTAGTTCTGTAGTGGTAAAATAAAATCATATGAGAGGTTGGGTGTGTTAAATATCACGTGGATCTCCCCAACATATAAACATTTGGGTAACCGTGATCAAAGTTTGTACCAAGATCCCTAACCGATGTGTGTAGAGTTGTAGGACCCCGCGGATCCGTTCGTTTGAGTGCACTTGGCCCATCTCCCCCTTGATGAGCGACTGCATCGAGAAGACGAGCAAAGTGAGTAAAACCATGGTCAACAGCCCGGAGACGACCAGCTGGAAGGGCTCGAAGACCCGGAACCCATGAGCGATATAGGCCATCGACGGTACGACCACCAGGGTCAGGATGGGTACGACGACGAGGAAGATCCAGTGCGTGACGTCGCAAGGTATGACCAGTGCCAGGAGCGACAAGAGTCCCAGCACCAACGACGTGCTCGACGTTATGACGGCGACGGACAACGTGTTGAACTGCACGGCGATCGACCCCAAGAAACTACCGTACAAAAACGTCATCAGGATCAGCGCGAACAGATTCAACGGATACAACGCTATGAGCTTGTTGAAAAACGTCAATATTGTAATGAGGCAAAGGTAACACGTCAACGTTAAGTACGGTATCCAACTATGACTGTTTAAAATCGTACATAGGTTCTCTTGAAACAGACAGAGAACTATTATGCACGTAATCGCGAAGAATTCGACGAACAATATGGCGTTGATGGAAAAAAAGTACTTTTTCCTCTTCCATTTTGTTTCAATACCACCGGACGATACGGTGTTCAAGTCGTCTCGACTCCCTGCAGTACTGGTGACGGTGGTTTCCGCGTCGTCAGCATCTACTTTCAGCATACAACAATGGTTCCGACAAGCGAAATCATTTTAAGATTGTTAAAAAGTAAATCCTCCCAATTAAAACATATGATCATCAAACTATTTTCCATTTTTGCTATAACAGTAATAACTTTCCAAGGCATATTTTTATTGGCAAAACATAAATTGCTACGATTGGAGACACTCCTCGAAATCATGTTAATTTTCAACATAGATGTTGTCCTATTTATTAAACTCATTATTTCAAAATACTGATTAACAGAATATATCCGTCGAAAGCTCGACAGAAGCTGATAATGACATCGAAGATAATTATGTTTTTATGCAAATTTGATTTTGATATGCTCCCTTTTCCCAATTGGATTAGTGCTGAAAAGTATGTACCAGCAAGTCTCGTGAGAAGTGAGATTCTATTTTCTAATTGAATTATCATTCTAGATTTTTCCTCTCGAGATAAAAGTATCTCCTAATACAACAAATGGCTTTTCCGTTGAAAGTGATCATTGTTTAACTGAGGTATTCATCGCTGTTATCTTTACGTCAACACAGCTCCACTTATCTAATCTTAATCAGATAAATAATAATTATTGATATTGATGTTATCATATATTCACCCCCTTGATCCCTCGTCAATTGTAATTGCCTAAAGTCGATCAAGATGTATCTCGATTGCAATTGGCTTCGTAGTTTTCATCGGAGATTTTGCCGAAAAACCACCATAATGAACGACAATCTAGGCATCTATGCTCTAATTTATGTCAGTTTTCATTTTTAAATTATATTCATAACTCATATATTTATTTAGAAGTCATAATTGACCGTATTAATTATTTTAATTGATTATACTTTTTATCTGTCTTAAAATCTTGGTTGAGAGAAAAAGCTAGTGTCACGAGCGGGATTCAAACCCAAGACCTTCGGCTATTTTCATAATATTTGTATTGTAAAGAAGATACGTATAAATTATTTGTCAATCGGCAAATCATAATAATTTGGAACTCTTGCAATCCAAAGACTTTTACAGTAAGATTCCGACCCCTATCAAAAGAATACGGCAGACGCCTACAAAGGCGGCATTGTCTTTTTCATATACAGCATATCTCCCCTCAAAATATATTTACAAAAGATATGTCCGTCGACGAAAATAAGATTTATATAATTTAAGATACGAACTTAAAAGTCTATCTCGTTCAAATTTTATTTAATTCTAGTATTATATGTAATTAGGTAGAATTGTAATTTTTAACTTCCTAAGGAAAGCATAGTTTTATTTAGTATTGTAAAATACATACTAGCAGTGTAACTGAGTAATTTATTGGTCTCATTTATGAAACTTACGTTAATATTTTATTCCGCTTGACCAATTAGTATTACAATTAATTAAGGTTTTTAGTTGAGATGAAAAAAGGAGGGAAAACTCATAAGGTGGGGTTGAGATAGGTTGATGTCCGAGTGGATGGAGGTCACGATAGCTCAAGTGGTAGAGTAGCGGCGTATCTAGCCGAAGATCGTGGGTTCGAATCCCACTCGTGCTATTAACTTTTTTTCATCTCAACTAAAAATCTTAATTAATTGTAGTTAATATTTTAGCTAAATCGTAGTCATTAGGGTTCCAAACACGAACAAACCAGGAGAGGTAGTTTCAAACTTCTGCAACAGCTCTTCGGCTGGTCAATTGGTCAAAAATCCACGATTGAAACATGTTTGATGTCAAAAAGACAACTCGAAATTTCTACCTAGGTTTTATAGTTTCCACAGAACTTCCTGGAAATGCCCAACGTTTCTTACGACACAAACTAGTGAAATTTTATTATCTTAAATTATATTGCACATATTGACGAGAAGTATCAGAAATGAACATGCACCTAAAATGCAGAAGAAACGATCTTACTAGGACGCACATGAAAACCCAATCGAATGTCAAAATAAAAATATGCCGATTCAATTATTTACTGAACGAATTGTTGAATCAGTTAGCAGGTAGTTCTTTAAATAAAATATTTTTTTAAAAAACCGACAACCACCAAATATTAAGTCGGACTGCACCAACCTGCTTGTCGTTCTTCGCTGTTGCGTTGATTTCTCAGTTTTATTATTTTATCCTTAACTGGCCCCATCAGACGGCATTTGACATTACGTGTGGGGGAGGAATCACATAAAAAAAAGGTACGTGCACAGACCGGGAACAGGGAAGAAACTGAGACGGGCCGAGGGTTGAGCGATGTCCGGCCCCCGCCTTTCGCCTTCCGCCACCACACTTCCAACCCTTATCGTCGCCTCCCTCCTGCCATCGTCTCCGCCCATCTTCTTCGCCTTCATCTACTCGACTATCTAATATCTATTACTTCTATTAGTGATAGTCCATTACTGTTAACTGTTGCCTCTCATCCTGTTCTTGTCCCTCCAAAACGTAAACACACAACAAACGATTCGTTAGTTAACAAATGTATAAAAATGGGATATGATATCATGAAATCATATCAACGAAAAAAAACGCACAGTTCACGAAAGTTTTTTTATGTCTATAATATCGAAAATTTAATAAGTCAGTTAAAAACCTCCAACACTAACATTCATATAATCTGGGTAAAAGGACATAACGACAATGTTTACAACGATGAAGCCGATAGACTGGCGAAAGAGGCGGCCATACCTGGTTCTTTGCAGTTTTTCATCTAGGTTGAAGATCACATTTGTATTGGCACTCCTTGGGATCTTGGCAAAGGGAGTTTAGTTCCACAAGTAATGCCAAGTCCGAAGGTCGTGGGTTCGAATCCCGCTCGTAACACTGACTTTTTTATCTCAAGTTAAAACCTTAACTAATTGAGTAATGCCAAGGTTTACAAATCAATTCAAACTCATATTCCTCCCTTCCCGTGGTTCCGTTCTTTGAATTATCCCCGACAATCCCTCACTTCCATAATCCGCCACCGACTAAACCACCATAGTCTGTCCACCTCTACAAAATTAAAATCCTTAATTTCCCTTACTGCTCTTGCAACAACTTAGGGAAATGCTAAATTTAAATTGTTCGTACACTAGAAGCGAGGAGAGACATATGCAATATGTTAGCAGATGAAAGTGTCTTTCATTTGTCATGTATGTATCTGCACATTCCTGAGGAAAAATGGCAAAACTTTTTTACATGCATTCGAATTAAATTGGGATACATTTCTCGAATATTTAAATGGACAAAATTGGCAGAAAATATACAATTATGTAATATCGGCATTAAAATATAGAAATCAATTGACACAAGAATTTAATTATTAAATTAATATATTCAACTTCATTTTTAATGGTACTCAAAGTCTATTTATTCTGTGAATGTTAACTTGAGTATTGTACACAATATTTATATGTTTATTAATAGTGGTTATAAGTTATAAATGGGTTATGGACATATATTAAACTAATTAATTTGTTACATTTTGAGAAATTATTTGTATATGTACGCTTGTTTTTTTTTTTTTTTTTTTTTTTTTTTTTTTTTTTTTTTTTATGTCTGTAGCTGATTTAATATAGGATTCAAGGGGCGTCGGTGGCCGCAACGGCGTTGACACAGCACTCGTCACTGTAATACAAAGGTCCTGGGTTCAAATCCAGCGGCCCTGCATTCGAACCCGACATACTTACAAAAAATTAAACCGGGGCTTTATAAACCGACGTTTAAATATATATATATATATGTGTGTGTGTGTGTGTGTGTGTGTGTGTGTGTGTGTGTGTGGTGTTTAGTGACCGTAAATGATTATTTGGAGATCGTGAGATGCGGTCTGGTGTGACGTAGGTTTTAGGAAAACATTTTCTTTATCGTGCCTATGTTTCGATCTTTATTAAGATCATCTTCAGGGCCTGGAATTTATAAATATTGTTTAAATTATACAAATACATGTAGGATGTGAAAAAAGTGAGTACAAATACTTTGATTGAACCTAGCATTGTATAAATTCATTTTTTTTCCATATTCTTCATGTATTTGTATAATTTGAACAATGATTATAAATCCCAGGCCCGAAGATGATCTCAGTAAAGATCGAAACGTGGCACGATAAAGAAAATGTTTTTCTAAAACCTACGTCATACCAGACCGCATCTCAAGATCTCCAAATAATTATATATATAGGATTCAATGCCTCTTGTATATATTACATACATATTACGCATGGCAACTTCCGCAAACAGATGATATCTCAAATGTGCATATGGTTTTTGTACAGTTCATACTTGTATTTTGTTTTTTTGAGGAAAAGAAATAAAAAGCATTTCTATTCTATGTAAACAAACTTGCGAAATAAATCAGCTCGATTGTCAACGGTCCGCATGGCAGACTACACGGTTCAAAAAGCTACCCCTACAAAAAAAGATGAACAAAAGAATTTATTACTCTAAACATACAAAACACTAACAACTAGGCCTACCGACACGGTATAGCTTTATCTCTATTATTTTTACATATTTTTATCCAAGATTCAAGTCAACACAAAATTCATGTGTTGGATACAATTTTCAATTCGAAAACCTTCTGATAACCACACTGAGTCAACGAATGTAATTAACTTCTAAAATGCTATACTACGTGAGCGTCTTAGTAAAGGCTGAAATTGCAAGTGTTTGCAGTTTCTTCTTTTAATCGTGATCATACACCAGATCAACATCTTAGTCTATACAGACAAACACGGGGTTGATACATTTCATTATGGTTCTTGAGTATTTCTAATCACTTCGCTAATCAGAAGAAAAACTTGTTCACCTTCATTGGTTAATTTGGGTACATTTGAATTGACAAATTGTTGCCTTTATCTTTCTTGTTTTCTTCTGTGCTGTAACAGATTATATCAGCCTTTTTATAATCATTGTAAGGAAAACAGATTTTTTTTTAAATTGTTTGTTTACCGCATAAAAAAACCGAATTTATATACATTTTATTTATCAGCTTTGAGAAGTAGCGTTCAGTGGAATTACATATAAGTTCAATTTTATAAATATCAGAAAAGCAGATAACACAACGCAAAACAACTTTAACTTTTTGTGGCAAAATAAATTTCAAGAAGGTAAAAATACTAGGAGTACCTACAAAACTTTGTGCTGCGTTATTTATCCAAATCTACATTATACAGGGTGATTCGCTACTGGTACGACAAATTTCGTCAGGTGCTTCTGCACCTCGAAGGCATAAAAAAATCATACCATAGTCCGATTCACAACCTTTTATGTTCAACATATTATGTTTTTCAACTATGTTTTCGTCATAAATCAACTCGTAGCTCCCGAACTATACATTTTTGGGAAAATCCAAAAAGAAGCATTGAAAGAGCCTTATATTTCCTTTACGAAGGAAGTAGGCACCCTTCCAGAGCTTACAAGTTAATTTTTGAAAGAAAATAAATACTAAATCTTTCAAAAACTGTAAATATTATAATTTGTAAAAAAAACTAATTTACAACCTCGTTGGAAAAATTAACGAAATTCAAATTCATTTAATTACATCGAAACAAAATTTTATTCTATATGGGAAAAACTGGTGACGGTGGGAAAAAAGGGAATGGGGTTAATCTAGCCAATTCAACTTTTTGTATTAGGAAAAGTTGATTTACCAACTTTAACTTAATAAAAAAGCACAAAATAAAGAATCTGCGAAAGGACTGAGAATACGACCATGGTTAATACTAAGTTTTTGTCGTACGAGTAGTGAATCACTCTGAAGTTTTCCTTGTGATTAGAAAATACTTTATTTAAGAATCAATTTACTAATTTTTATTATATTTACGTATTAAATACAATTTAAGTTCAGTGATTGTTTGGAGTTAATGTTTTTTACAAAATAAAAAAATTGGGGGAGTTTTCTGTATGATCTGTGCGGTAATGGTCTTGTAATTTGGGCATCGTTGATCATAACCTACACTGAGGATGGCGAAATGTCGAAAGGCGTCTGACAGACCAACACAGCGAGGAGAGGCAGACCGTAATGATAGGTGACGACCAATTTGTAATACATATAATTTTTTTCTATTGACTATATGGTGCATAAAAATTATTTGGTTTTGCATTGCATTATACTACTTCCATTAGAATATTTTCATAATTTGTTGACATTTCTCAATGTGCATGTTTTGAGTGATTCAAAAATCCATTAAATGGATTTTAAAAGCTGTTTGTAGTAATAAGGATGAAGAAGTTTTTGAAATATAGGTGGTGACCAATAATTAGAAAACTGCTGTATTTTCTGCATCGGTGGTTTTTTGAATTCATGCAAAACTATTCATCATGCACCATATAACATGTGTGTATATAAGAAAAATCTAAAAACATAATTTTTTGAATGGCACTTACTAATGAAAAGATAGTAAACTCAGGTCACTAATTCATCAAAGTCCTCGGGGTTAATGTATTATAAAAAACTGTTTGAAGTGAAACGGGTGAAGAAGTTGCTGAAGCAGAGGTTGTGACCAAGGATCAGAGGAGCAGCATTTTCTGCCTGGATGGTCTTTTTATAGCATCCAATGATGGACATTCTATTAAAATGTAGTGTATTTTAACTAGACACGTTGAGCCAGAACAAACCGGATTGTTCATAGTCTTAACGTGATGTAAATAAAAATTCTCCATGATCATTTAAAAAACTTGAACCAGTTTTTAAGGAAAAGAAATTTATTTTTTCTGTTGAAGGTTTTTACACTAGAAATGAAATGCTCGGTTCAACTCCCGTGCATGTCTTCTTTAATTTTCAAACTATGTTTACAAATTTGGAACAACGGCGAAGTTGCATAATTCAACGCAAACTTTGCTAAACCTGTACAAAAAAGAGTTCCACTCTAATTAATATGTATCGTATCAGTGGTCCTAGTACAAAATAATGCAAATGTCACTTGTTTATAAGATAGCTCCAGCTAGGATGAAGCTGCTGAGTCAGTTGATACTACTGAGTTGGTAAACGATATGAGTCTAATCTCACGTTTTGGAGTAAATTTTGGTTAAATTCAAAAATTTGCCTTATGCCTCATGCCTTATGGGTTAAAAAGTCGGAGCTTCAGAGAAAGGTGGACCGGAACACGCTACCTGCTATACCATTTTTACTAAATCTTTGATCGCTTCCGGTCTTCCTAGTCTGCCTCTCCTCGCTGTTTTGGGATTTTCAGTTATGAGCTATGTTATTTATTATTAGCTGATTGCTGATTTGTATCAGCTCAAAACTACGCACGCACTTACACAC